TCCGCGTGGTGAGTTGTCTATGGTTGTGATGATGCGTGACATGGTTGAGTTCTACACCGCGCAGGCCCAGGCCAATAAAGGCAAGATAGCAAAACGCTTTGAGGCACTGGCCGTCGAGGTGATGAAGGAGCTCGAGAGTTTTGAACAACCACAAATGCAGACTGACCCAACCTGTTTGACTGCGAGCACTGTGAAGCAGCGTTCGAGGCAGACTGGCCTCAAGGGCCGTGGCATGCTCATTGAGTTGTGCACCGAGCCGGACTCGAACCTAGGTGTTGTTGGTGAGAGGTTGAACGTCAAGGTCACACGTTGCACCAAGGAGGTGAACAATTTAGAATATGAGAGTACCACGTCACACCTGATGAACTTCATTCGTGAACATCCAGGTATTGATTTGTGGGCTAGCCTTCCTTGTGGACCGTGGAGCCAATGGCAATACCTCAATGCACACCGCTATGGGGCAGAGTTCAGAAAGAAGTTGGCCAAGTCGAGAGACTTGTCGTTGAAGCTGCTTGATCGCTTTTGCGAGCTGCTAAATGTGTTGTTGAGCATGGTGGAGATGTTCATTTTGAATGGCCCAGACATGCATTGGGTTGGAAGCAGGCTGCGTTGTGCCAGCTCATTCGAGACATTGGCATGACAGTGGTGAATTTTGATGGTTGTGCAGTTGGACTTGTTGATTGGCAGGGCACACCGTTCCTCAAGAAGTGGCGAGTGGCAACAACTAACGAGAACCTCGCGAAGAACTTGAACGAGTGTCGATGCAAGCATGGTACTGATTTCAAACATGCACCTATCACAGGTTCCAATACTAGCACGACTGCAAGATACCCAGAGATCATGTGTGAGATTGTCTTCTCTTCTTTGTTTCCTGACCTTGTTTTCAAGGAGGTGCCCGCCATGCCCGTTTGTGAGGCAGCTGTGTGCGTGGTTGCACAGGAGCATGTCGAGAAGGAGCCAAAGGAACAGGTCTACCGTGGACCGTTGGTCATTGAAACCGTTGATACCTTTGCAACTCCCGCTGAGCTTGAAGATGACCTTGCTCCTGCGGACGACGAAGCTGAATTTGCAGAGTCAAGAGATGATAGGTTGAAGCGTGAGGCAAAGAGCCTAGACCACATCACGACCCACGCGAAGAAGAATCCTTTTTGTGAACATTGTGTGCGTGGTCGGATGTTGAAAAGATATGCCCACGGAGTTCGACCTGAGCCTAGTGATGAAGCGTACGAGCGCTCGGCTGCTTTTGGCCGTGTGCTCGAAGCCGACCACATGTTTCCGTCGGAAGAGAGCGTGAGCAACGCTGGGGAGAAGGTGGCTCTGGTGATCGTTGATCTCTTCTCCGGTCTGAGCATGGCCTATCCGGCCAGAGACAGGTCAGAAGAATCCTGTTACAACTCATTGAAACACTTCGGTGGCCATAGGTTGAACGGTGATACCGGTGTCATTTTTAAATCAGATGCAGCCGGTGAGTTGACCGGAGCGGCATCCAGGCTGTGCTGGACAATATCCCCGAGCATCCCCAGGGATTGGCCTCACGCGGCCCACGTCGAACGTGAGGTGAGGACCTTGAAAGAGTTGTGCAGACCAGCACATCTCCAGGCCGGCTTCAGTAAGAAGATGTGGCCGATCTCCGTTGTTTACACTGCAAAAGCTCGTGCCTTTTGGTCGCCTTGTGTGATTCGCAAGCATGAGCGTGGGACGGAGATTGAGGAGCTCAAGACTGGCAAGACCCGTTGGGAGGTTTGCACAGGTGAGCCCTTTCTTGGAGTGAAGTACCCTCTTGGTGCACTTGTTTTCTACAGGGCAAGAGCGATGGAATGGCCGCTCCAACTACAAGACCAGGCTTGTTTGCTGGATGGCGTGTTGACTCAGGCTTGCGATACCGCAATGTCGTACAAGTTGTCGACTATGAAGCTGTCCGTGCAAGAGCGCATTTGCATTGGAGTCCCAAGGACTTGCATGAGAAGGAGGTGTTTTTCCTCCTGTTGAATACATTGAGTTTCCTTTGTCCAACGCGGCAATGAAGGCGTTGAAGGAGATGTCTGACCCTGATGTTGAGGTGAAGAAGAAGATCTATGACAGATCTCTTGAGTCGGGCGTGCTCCCATATGACATTGACATTGATGCTTTTCCGGAAGATACCCCAGTTGCACCCCCACGTCATGCATACATTACTTTTTCACGTTTGTTGGAGCATGGTTTTACGAAGGGTTGCCCTGGATGTGATGGTGGCCACTACCGCCACAACAAGGCATGTCGCGAGCGATTTGATGCCATCTTCCCTAGAGAAGCTGCAGCGCCGCCTACACCGGCGCCAGATGTCGGAGCACCAAAGACACCTGGACCGCTTCCAATGCCTAAGAGTTCAGAGAAAACTTCTTCTTCCTCTTCCACAGGAGCAGCAGAGAAGGAACATTGGGTTGAGCCAGAGACCACCGAAGGTCCCGAGTACTCTCCTGATGAGCTTCCCGAGGGGTACGTCCCACCGGAAGACGTTGCGGCTGGGGTGTATGCCCTGGTGACAAGACAGCTCACCCGGAACGAAGTGTTGTCCCGACCTGATGCACTGCAGGCGATCCGTAAGGAGTTCGATGGTGTTGGTTCCATGGGAACATGGGAGCTTGAGTCGGTTGATGAAGAGTTCCGCGTGAAGGAGGCTGCATTGCAAAGTGGAGAGACGATTCACATTGCAGACTTGCTTGCTATTTGCAGCGAAAAGCACGTTGAGTTGGCTCCAGAGCTTCGTGCTCTGAAAGGTCGCGTGTGCTATCGTGGTGATTCTGCAAAGACGGCTGAAGGAAAGCTAGCACTTTACCAGACGTTAGCTGCGTCTCCTGCGTCGATAGTTGCAGCCAATAGCGTGATCTCTTTTGGTCTTTTTGAGGGACACAAGTTGTCGTCGGCAGACGCCGTCAAGGCCTATCTCCAATCGGAGTTGAAAAGTTTGGCTGCCACATACATCCGTCTCCCAAGAGAGCTGTGGCCTGAGTCTTGGTTCACCCCAAACGGCTACCCTCGCTTCAAAAGGCCAATCATTAGATTGCGCAAATCGCTATATGGACACCCAGAAGCTGGGGCCCATTGGCAACAGTTTCTTGAAGAACAGTTGTGTCTCTTAGGAGCAGTCAAGGTTGAAGAGTTTGCATCCACCTTCACCATCCCCACCTTCGGAGGATTGGCATTGGTTGTCTACGTGGACGACTTGATTCTCTCAGGACCAAGTCAATGGCACGAGCCTTTCTGGGAGGCGTTGGGTGAAAAGGTGTTGATTGATGACATTGGACCGTTGGGTCGCTTTCTTGGCCGACACCACTCCACTGTCGAGGTTGACAACACAGAGTTCTTTGGCTTTGACATGCGTGCTTACGCTGAGGCTACTGTTCAAGAGTACTTGAGGGTTGCGAACAGCCCAAAGATGAAAGTCGTCGCATCGCCATTTCTCAGCAAGGGGTTCGTTGGAGCAGACGAGTGTGGTGCTCTGGCATCTTCAGCCAGCAGCATTCTGATGAGACTGATGTGGTTGGCACGCCTTGCTCGTCCTGACCTGCTGAGAGTTGTGACTTGGTTGGCAACCATGGTACAGTCCTGGACGCAAGCTTGTGATGCGTACCTGTACCGTGCCATGTGCTACCTCGAGTGCACCAAGAACGCAATGTTGCTTGGGCATGTGCGTGATGCGCCGGAGCATGTGTTTGTTGAACTTTTCGCAGACGCAGACTACTGCGGAGACGATGAACACACCCATAGTACCGGAGGATGGCTACAGTTGTCTGGCCCGCGGACATCGTTTCCTTTGGCATGGCTGTCGAAGAAACAGACGGCTACTTGTCGAAGCACGACGGAGGCAGAGACTGTCGCACTGTCGTATGTGCTCTTTGAAGAGGGTTTGCCATTGGTTGAGTTGTATTCCGCAATGCTTGGGCGTCCTGTGTTGTTGAGGCTTCGCGAAGACAACACTGCATGCGCGAAGGTCGTGACTGCTGGATACTCCAAGAAGTTGAGGCATCTCAAACGCGTACATCGCGTGAGTTTGGCTTCAGTGAAGGAGCAGTTGGATCGCGATGACGTGGAACTGAGCCTTGTTGGAACAAGCGACCAGAAAGCCGATGCTTTCACAAAAGCAGTGGAGCCTGCACTATGGCCCAAGACCCTCCAAAACCTTGGAGTGCACCTTGATGGGTACACCATCAAACACACCTCAGGCACTGGCCTGAAGCTGGACAAGCAGATGGCATTGCAGCCAGATACACCAGCGACAGACGTAGCGACAGGACCTCAGGGCACGACAGGCCCTACCCAGCCAGGGTACAAGAAACGGCAGAAACACAAGCCGAAGAGAATACCTCCGTACAGTGTACCACAGAACCTTTCCGAACCAGCTGGATAGCCCGGGATTCAGAACTGATCCCAAGCCGTCGAGCAGCTCAGGAGTCAGAGGGGGGAGAAGAAATCCCTCAGCTAGAAACGCCCTCAAGAAGAACTGAGCTTTGAGTGAGGTTGCACACTTCGTGTATAGATGACACGTCATGTATAGTTGATGTCTAGGAGCACTTATCCAAGACTGGAATTGTCATGTAAAGACTTGCATCATCGGTAATCGGCTTTGCCGTTTGCACTGTGTCACTGGACGCCAACCTGATTTGGCTCAAGACTGGAAAAACTAAGGTTCGTTGCCCGCCATCGAAACGTCGCATCGACGGGTTGACGGGTTGATTGAACGTTGTGTTGAACTTCCAGGGAAGAGCAACTTATCTGTTACTTAGACATCCACCTAACTGTCGTATCAGGCACCAAGATGGACAACTGGAATGGACCACCTTGGACTTTGGAGGTCTCAAGTCTCTCAGTCGATGAAACCTGTTCTATACCTTGTCCCTGCCACTTCACGCCGACACCATCCGCCACCGTCATCCACCCATCTCTGTGGGCGACCACCTTAAGGGACCTCTCTCCTTCATTGGAGTGACAACGCCGACCCGACGCCGATCCGATGCTTCAAGGATCAACAGTTGCTACGTCAACGTGGGCGCCCATCCGGAAAGTCTGACGCCTGGGAAGCTGGAGGAGCTCGATGGACTGTGCGCAGACGTCTTTCAGTGGATTGGCACTTGCGATGCAAAGAAGGGCACGGCATGGCAGGTGTATGCCCCAGTGCTGGGGAGGTCTTCTCCCTGCAGAAAACCAGGACCTTACAGTACATGGCGGCCGGCAAAAATTGCAAAACACCATGCATGTGGTTGCGTTTGAACAAGCCACCCAACAATGTGCAGACTTCGCGACCAATTGAGAGAGTACCCAGAGACTCCATGGGACTGCCATATTTACATGGATTTGGGTGGTGAAGAGGGGCGTCAATGTAGGTATTATTTGCTGTGCATTAACCTATAACTATATATATATATGCAATTTACGGAAATTCCGTAAATGGAGTGTTTGGGGTACCTAGTTTCATGGGACACATTTAATTTCCATTTACCGCCATTTACCCCAACTTCTAACACATGTATGTCTTTCTGGCTGGGGGATGATTGCCACATGTTTATACAAGGTTGTTTGTTCGCTACAGGCCATTTACTATACCAATGTGCATAAATGTGCAACTTATGATCAAGGCTCCAATTCAAACAGCCACCATTCGCGCCGCAATGCGCTGCTTTCCCCAGAAGCACCGCACCAAGGTAGCTTGCTGTTGGAGGCTGCGCACTGGACGCCCAAGAAGACCAAGGACGACGTTTTAGCGCAGCTGGCCGAGAAGAAAGGCGGGATCATGATGAAGGAATCGGCATATTTTTGCCGGATGAGTTTTTCAATTATGAGACTGCCATTGCCACTGGCGGTTGGTTCGTCCGCATGTCCTCCTTCCGCCAGGAGCACCACGTCCGCCACGCCCACCAATCACACCTTCCACCGCACCGACCTCCCCCAGCGCTGCAGCGCCTGCCGCGCCACGGGCGGCATCCCCAGCGCCACGGGCGGCGCCTGCCGCGCCACGGGCGGCGTCCCCAGCGCCACGGGCGGCGCCTGCCACGCCACGGGCGGCGTCCCCAGCGCCACGGGCGGCGCCTGCCACGCCA